ATATCAGAATGATTTCTGAAGGATAGTGTGACTGGAGTAATGATACTAAAAATGTAGCTTTGAAATCATAATAAATTACATTTTAAAATATATTCAAATAGAAAATAGTTCTTTTAAATAGCCTAGTAAAATATATTTCAAAATTGTACTTTTTTGCTGTACTTTGGATCAAATAAACTTCTTTAAAAAAACATGAACAATCTTACTGTTCAAAAACTTTTGACTGGTAGTGTAGCCTATAGTCAACTTAAATTTTTCTCTCATTTCTAGCTTTTAATTGGCTTAGAAATCAGATAACTGCTGGACAATGATTTGCTTATATACTACAAACACTTTTTTTTATCACATAAGGCAGAATAGTTTCTATACTGTAATAAATGCTATGTCAGTTAGCACTGCATTGTTCATATAATTTATTTATTTCCTGGAGATGACTTGACAAACACAAATAAACCATATACTGTTGCAATCGTATGTTTAATGTCTTCATGTTTCCAAACGTTTCTGTTTTCTGTGAAAACAACTGTTTTCGTACAGCGATAGCTGCGATAGCTGGACGCTTTTGTCCATATCTGGAATTTCCTCATACGACTTTCTGCGCGAGAGCGCCCTCCGGCCTTCGAGTATGAATGAAACACACACTGCATGAGTGTTTAGCGCTCCGCAATGTTCATCTCGCCTTATTCTGGGTCCGAATAAAACATCAGATCATGCACAGACTATCCTGTCTCTTTGAATTTAAATCGATATTTATTCACATCAGCTCTTGAAAACCTCTGTGTGAACACACTTGCCCGAAAAAGTGCGGGTAATCTACACCCCTGGGGTAATGCATTACAAGTAACGCGAGTTACGTAATCAGATTACTTTTTCCAAGTAACTAGTAAAGTAACGCATTACTTTTTAATTTACAAGATAATATCTGATTTACTTTTTCAAATAAGTAAGGCAAGTTACTTTTTTTTCCAATTTATTGATTGACAGCTCTCCTGTCCCCATGTTGAGAGAAATCTGAAGATGTTACTGTAGTTCTATAATAAATATGAATATGCATTAATTCCTCTCACTCACACACACACACACAAAAAACACAGATTCAGTATTCCTCAAAATGTATAAAAAATAATGCAACTCAGATGTAGCGAATCAGCTCATGGGGAAATATGAATAATTAATCATAACTAGTTATAATTAATTATAAATATTTAGATCCGCTGTAGATATTTAGCTGACCTCTCAGGGATATGACACAAACTGCAATAATTAAATGTTAAACAACACAAATATTCTTTATTTATTTATTCCCATTCTATTAACCAATGCCTTTGCTTCTGACCTTCGATGATCCAGTTAAACTGTACTAATAAGCACAAATTACTCTCGACAAACATTTGTGTGTCTGTTTTTATTGCTGAAGTGTGTTAAAATGTCTTCTTCTGCATTCTAAATGTACTTTCCCTTCAGCCTAAGGCTTATTCATGTCACTTTTGGTGTGAAAAGGCTTTTATATATTTGCCAAAAATATAACTTTTTTATTTTAAAAACAAACAAGCAAGCCCTGTGCAGATTTAAAAAGTAACGTAACGCATTACTTTCCATAAAAACGTAATTAGTTACTTTTTTATGGATTAACGCAATATTGTAATGCATTACTTTCCCCAACACTATGGGGGTTGGTGTTAAAGAATTGTGTTATAATAACCCCTACAAATACAACTGTTACTGTTTCTTGTGTGTTGCAGTGGTTGCATAGACCAGTGGGGTGTTTTCCTATTCTCTGTAATGTAAAATTCAAACCAGCATGACCTGTCTAAGACGTGTAATTATCTTTCCCTCCTTTGGATTCCTGCTCTGCCTGATACTATTTAAGCCTACTTGTTTTTGTATGTTATACAGATGTCGTCCAGTATCAGTTATGTCCCAGTATGCTTGCCATATTTTGCTTGTATGTCCCTTAATAATGGTTTTGATTTCTGTTCTACATAACGGTATTTGTATATCAACTGTTTCATGCTTTATTGCTCCTCTGGCCAGAATATCTACAATCTCATTTCCTTCAACCCCTACATGAGCAGGAACCCAAAGGAAGGAAACATCCAGCCCTTTATCATACAGTATTAAAAGTAAGTTGAATATCTGGTATATGATATCTTGTCTACATGATGTTTTCCCAGATTGAATACTAGATAGAGCAGATAAGCTGTCAGAAGCTATGATTACATTTTGGTTCTGTTTATTTCCTTCCAGCCACTGTAATGCCAATAAAATTGCTAAAAGCTCTACTGTGTACACCGATAAATGATCTGCTGTTCTTTTTTTAACTGCTATTTCATAATGCAAAATGGAGAAAGCAGCCCCAGTACCGGATTCTGGGAGATGTGGTCAAAAAAGCATTAAAGGGGTCATATGACATTGCTAAAAAGAACATTATTTTGTGTATTTGGTGTAATGCAGGGGTGCCCAACCCTGCTACTGCCAAACACACCTGAAGCAACTAATTAAGGTCTTCAGGATCACTTAAAAATGAAAGGCAGGTGTGTTTGATTAGAGTTGGAGCTAAACTTTGCAGGACAGTCGATCGCCAGGAGCAGGGTTGGGCACCCTGGTGTAATGCAATGTGTTTATTCAGTTTAAGGTTAAAAAACACATTATTTTCCACATACTGTACATTATTGTTTCTCCTCTATGCCTCGCCTTTCTGAAACGCCTCGATATTTACAAAGCTCGTCGATCTGAAAAGCGAGGTGTGCTCTGATTGGCCAGCTATCCATTGCGTTGTGATTGGCCGAATACCTCAAGCGTGTGACGGAAATGTTAAGTCCCTTAACATACTGGGACGCCGTGTCCCGGCCGGAGCGACGAGACAAAACCAATAAAACCCATCACAAACGAGGCATTTGTTGCATCCAGTGGGAACATAATTACTGATTATAATGACTTATACTGTGTATTTACACGTTGCGTTGCGTATCGCGCTCCATAAACATAAAACCATGTCTGCATTTGTGATCGGAGAAATGACAAACAACAAGCGCTACTCTACACTGCTCAAAACTCGCGTTTGAATCGTCAGTGGCAAATCCTTTAAATATAAAAAATGTACTTACAGGCTGTGAGTCAGAAGCGCCAGACTGTCCTTGCAAAGTTGGAACTGCCCCACTTTATAGAACAGCCTTTGATCACAGACCCATTGTAGGCTACTCTGCAGGTTCAGGAAACAGTCCTCCATAAAATGTTTCACACAGCGTCACACACCTTAGAGTGAGCAGCGGCCGGTGGATTCGACGAAGGAGCGGCCGGTGGGCTTGTGGCAACCACATGTGACGACCCCGGGCTTTCAAGCTTCATCTTTCAAAATAAATGCAAAGACAGAGCCCGTAAGGGGAAAAGAGTCGCGTGACAGACACAGTGATGAAGCTGGTATGTGTTTGCAGTACACAAGCCACGGTTAAGACAGCTGACTCCACTGTGATGTGAATAGCTCTTTGGTTTTGAGACTTTAGTCTTTGCAACTTCAGGGATCTTATCTATGCACAATCAGCTTGTAACACTCCAAAGAGAAAGGAAAACTTGAAATCGCATCATATGACCCCTTTAAACGAGGCGTTTTAGGGGGGCGTGGACAAGTCTTAACTTTTATAAAGAATATCTCTTTGGATTTGAGACTTTAGTCTTTGCAACTTTACAGATCTTCTTTATGCACCAAGAGCTTGTAACACTCCAAAGAGAAAGGAAAAAATTTAATCGCATCATATGACCCCTTAAAAACTATTTTTCAACGCTGAAGTAAGCCTATGTGTGAGACTTCCGGTTCACTAGCCGCTGTAGGGAAATAACGAGAAGAATACGTGCAGTAAACGGTAAAACTGTTTCCATTACAAACCAGTGTGTTAATAATTAAGATAATACATTCAAATAATATGGTAAGACACACCAATTTGCAATATCATGAGATGAGGATGAGACCGGAAGCCAGACACATTACAAATGTCTGCGCCAGCACTTATGGGAAAAAATGTGGATAGTTAAAAAAAATTAACTGGACACAATTTTTGTAACGTAACTAATGACAGAGTAGCCTATGGATAATTGAAGATTTACTTGTAAATATTACTTGAAAATATTTACAAGCTTTGTAAATATTGAGATGTATTTCTGTAGCTAATTTTAAACTAACTTAATATCATATCAGCCTCGAGATATGAGGAAATGAGGGCCAAAATTAAAATAAAAAAGCTAGTGGATGGGTTTGTCTTATATTTATATCAAGAGATCCTATGATGGAAACAAGCTTCCATACTATCCACTGTAATTACGACAGTGATATATTTACGATCCCAAAATCCCAAAAATACACAAAACGACATGCAGATGATTTAAAGAGAATTTCAGCACACAGGAAGGTTTTATTCCACAATAGCTAAGTACAATACAAAGTAATCAGAGAATACTAAAGAGACATTTAGTACATTAAAATCCAAACTGATGTTGTTTTAGTGTTTTTAGTGCATGTATGGTCATTATTAATATTGTCTGTGCTTCCAAAGATGTGAATATTTGCTTCAATCCAGAGGACGGGAATATGTGAGCAATGTCCAGCAGTCTTACTTCAACATGAATGAGAGAGTGATAAGCAATAATGATGCGCCTAACACTCAGTTTACGGTCAATTTAACAACTAAGTATGTTTGCAAGATTGCTATAAATTTTAAATGTTTTTCTTTGTTTTAAAGGGTGGATCTCTGTCATCAGCTGCAGGAAACTTTAGATCAGGTAAGTCAATCCAAAATAACTTTTTTTAAAGGCACAGTGCAGTGGTTTTCAAATGTTTAAATAAGGACCATGGACTCCAAATATGATGATCCCCCGGCAAGGGGCTCCTCACTGAAATATAAAGGCAGTTTTATATTTTCATATAAAGAGCCATTAATACTGTGTACAAAAGCATAAAATAGATAATACAAATATATTTTCAATTAATTTCAGATTTATTTGTGTAGCTTATGGCTTAAAAGTAGCTTTAATCAAAATAGAGCCATACAACCAGTAATAAAGAAAAATAATTATTTTAAATTATTTTTCACAAAACTATATACAGATTTGTTTCTTAGTAAAATTATTTTATCTCAAATTTTCCAGGGACCCCTTTGCACCCCCCTGTGGCTCCTGGGGGGCATCCACAGGCCCCTATTTGAAAACTCCTGACTTTACGTATTTCCTGCAATTCTTATGTCCTGTAAAATGTTCCATTTTTGTGGGTAGTGCTTGTGTTATATGAATAAACAGACTCTTATGTGTGCTTATTACACGGCTCTCTAGAATACTTGATTCTGATTGGTCACTCACAGTGTTCAGCACTCAGATATTTCTGAGTAATAACCATTGTCCATGACAACACAATATAACTGACTGCTTGTCCTGGAAATCAATAATTCCTTCATAGCTGTACTTGTATTCTATCTCTAAAACAATAAAATAAACCCAAATCAGTATTTACTGTATTTATTTTGGGGCAAGAAGCCGTTTAATAAGCAGGAAATATCAGGGTGCATTTTATGCTGCCATGCATTTTATATTCCTCGGGAGTTGTTATTATTGTTCCAGCTCACACAACTTATTTTTCACCCAAGCAAAGGACCTTCTCTTCTTCTCTGTCCTCACCAACTAACAATGACGATGATCAGTGTTACTCTAACTGTCAGTCTTTTAAGATAACATTTTGCAGTTTTAAATTAATGTATGCTGCTTAACAAACATACCTCTTTGCATAAATCACTGAATAAATTACCCTCAGCAATATCTTGCTTTGCATAACAGATCATACACACAAGCTCTATTTATATCTACTTGTGAGGACCTAGAAAAACACATTGTTGTAATAAAGCAAATACATTTTTGTTGTAATAAAGCACCCTTAAAGGAATAGTTCACCTAAAAATGAAAATTTGCTGAAAATTTGCTGACCCTCAGACCATCCAAGATGTAGATGGGTTTGTTTCTTCATGGGAACAGATTTGGAGAAATGTAGCATTCCATCACTTGTTCACCAGTGGATCCTCTGCAGTGTATGGGTGCCGTCAGAATCCAAACAGCTGATAAAAGCATCACAGTAATCCACAAGTAATCCACACCAATCAAGTCCATCAATTAATGTCTTGAGAAGTGAAAATCTGCGTGTTTGTAACAAAAAATTCCATCACTAAAATGTTTTTAACTTCAAACCGTTGTTTCTGGCAAAACAAAAAGCATCCATGATATTGTTTTCTGCAGTGAAAAAGCAGTTTGGACTCTCATTCTGACGGCACCCATTCACTGCAGAGGATCCACTGGTGAGCAAGTGATGTAACGCTACATTTCTCCAAATCTGTTCCCATGAAGAAACAAACTCGTCTATATCGGGGATGGCCTGAGAGGGAATTAATTTTCAGCAAATTTTTATTTTTGTGTGAACTCTTCCTTTAAAGACACCTTTGGCATTTTTAGATTTTAATTAAAACCCACTGGGCCCCTTTATGAACCTTTTTACTAGCAATAACTTTCTCACTAAGAATATTTTTATAAATGTGGCCCTCACAAGTGCAGCGCACAGTCCCCCTTACGCATGCACTCATGTTCCTGTGTGCTGTCCCGCTGGCAGAGGTGCTGGGTGGGCAGAACTCAGTGGCGGCAGCCATGTTGTCCCCTGTGGTGCACGCGGTGCTGCAGATGGGTTTCCAGCACTCGCTAGTGGAGAGTCTAGTGCAGTCACGCTACCTGCTCACCGGCTCACACTACACCTCGGTCTCTGACCTGGTGAGCGACGTCCTACAGGCCGAGGAGGAGGAAAGGCAGACGGGATACGGACCAGACCAGGTGTGGAGCGCCCTCTGTTTCCAAGCCCTCTATCAATATAGAACAAATTTAAATTACATAACCTAAAGTTTACATAATTTAAATGATGCTACTGACCATTGAATTTAATGCGAATGATAATGAGGCTGTGAAGGATAGACTTAGAGTCTTTACAATGGCACGCACTGTATAAAGGTCCCAGATCACATACTTTTCACAACTTACAACTTTCAAAACTGTCTTATAGAGTTTAAGTCTACTGAAAGTTTTTCTTTTTCATCAGCTGAACAATCAAACGCACAGTACTTCAGTCCCTCACAGCCTCGTTTTCATTCTTGTCAAATATTAAATATGGCGCTACCCTGACTAAGATCTATAGAAGGAGATTTAAAGGAACAGTTCACTCTAAAATTAAAATTCAGTCATTATTTACTCTCCCTGGTGTTGTTATACTGTCAAATACCCTTCTTTTTTGGACCACACAAGGTGGTGCTTGTCCATATAATTGCAATGAACATCAACTTAGCTGACAAGGAATGCTCTCAGAACATTCTGGCAAGGTTCTCTCCAGTAATGTTAATAGAACGTTCGTTTAAAGTTATCTGGTCTTTAATAACGTTCTCAGAATGTTAGTTAAAAACATTATTTATACATTGTTAAATTTTGACATTTTTTAAGTTGGATGTTCATCTAACATTATTACTATTTGCTTTAAACCACTCAGAGAACATTTTAAAAGTAAAATTCCCTTAATGTTATCTTTAACGTTGGTTGAAAAAAAAATTAGAGAACATTCAAAAATAACTCTCATAACTTAATGGTAACGTTAGCAAAACGTTCTTCAAACATATGTGCTCGCTGGGGACCACCTTCTAGCTTTAAAAAAGGATGCAAAGGTACAGTATCATCAAAATACTCCATGCAACTTGTGCTGTATATTTCAAGTGTTCTGAAGGCATGAAATAGGGTTTGGATGAAAAACAGAATTTAAGATATTATTTAGCAAAAATCCTGACCTTGGCAGTTTTATTTTTCATTCTATTTTTTTGTGTTCCAGGATTTGCATCAACAGTTTTTGCATTCCGCTGCACTAATTTTAATGATTTTTTTTCTTTTCCATATTCCATATGAACAAGCACTAGATGAATGTGTTTGACAATTTTGTTGCTCTGAACTCACTGATTTTTCTTGCACATGAGCGACATGTTTTTAAGTAGCAATGAACAACATCAAATTCAAATAAGTTTTAAATACACTTGAGACCCTGCATTCTTTTCCATCCTTCTGGGCCTCATTTGTAGACATGTTTTGTGTAAATAATGACAGACTTTTAATTTTGTGTGAACTAGTTCTTTAATGCCACCTATAGTTTGATAGCCAAGTGTTGTTAATCGCAATAAAAAATATGATCAAATGTTTGATAATGTGCCATTCCCTCGTGTGGATGGTTTGTTCCCTCAGAGACTGTGGAGAGGCAGAGAACGCCGAGAACGCAGGTCTCAGACAGGGAGAAAGGTCCATATTAACATGCTGTCATTGCACTTATAATGTGTGTGTTTGGGTATATCTTAATCTTCTCTCCATCTAGAAGCTTCTGGGATGAAACAGATCACACTATCAATCATTTCAACTGACCCAGACTGATCTGAAACATCCTAACTTGTGTATTTGTGTGTTTTTCAGTGCGATCAGACCTGAGTCCAGAGGATCAGTTGCAACAGCTTCAGGAAAAGAGGACCTGTAAGGTCTGCATGGACAAACTCGTCTCCATGGTCTTCATCTCCTGTGGTCACCTGGTCGTCTGCATGGACTGCGTAGCCAGTCTGCGCCACTGCCCCATATGCAGGGCAGTTATGCGGGGGAGTGTGCGAGCAGTCATGTCCTGAAGCACATACACAGCAACATACTGTTGCACAACCGTGTCATTAGCAAGAACTGCACTGCATTTGGGATATATAGTGCTAAAAATACTCTACAAATGTTATAAATAGCTTTCAAATCAGCATCAGTGCTCTGACACAAACACATATGTGACCCTGGACCACAAAACCAGTCATAAGGGTCAATTTTTTGAAATTGAGATGTATACATCATCTGAAATTTGAATAAATAAGCTTTCCATTGATGTATGGTTTGTTAGGATAGGACAATATTTGGTCGAGATACAACTATATGAAAATCTGGAATCTGAGGGTGCAAAAAAAAAAAAATCTAAATACTGAGAAAATCGCCTTTAAAGTTGTCCAAATGAAGTTCTTAACAATGCATATCACTAATCAAAAATTAAGTTTTAATAATTTTTCAGTAGGAAATTTACTAAATATCTTCATGGAACATGATCTTTACTTAAGATCCTAATGATTTTTGGCATAAAAGAAAAATCTATAATTTTGACCCAGTTTATAGAACTATATAATCTTATATATCATTATTTATATATCAGCTTATATATCAGTTTTAGTGAGATTGAAATATTAATATGAATTTCAGAATGTCATAGTAATTGGGTTTTTCCCCATAATTTAATGACAGCAGCACTTCCATCTGTACAAAAATTTTCATTAATGATCTAAAAAAAAAATCTAAAATAAATACATACATACATACATAATCGTAAAACCACTGTAAAACTCCAGGTTTAAATGAGATTTTAAATCCCAGATTTTTTATGTGGACTTTTGGACGTCACTGTACTTTAAAATGTTTTGCATGCTTGTAAGTTCTGGACAAAACCAAAGTTGATTTTGTGTCATGCCAAGTCAACAGCTTTTTGTGAATTTGAAATCTTAAAAACATATAAAAAGAATTTTCAGATGGCAGTTTATAAGAGATCATATTGTATAATAATATTTTATTATTACTGTATTAACACATTGCACTTCTATTTTCATTAATAAAACAATTTGCATTGCACATCTTTGTCAAAGCTCTGCTTCTGTTACATATTAACCCTCATATTGAGTTCCAGTCGTTTTGACCCGTAGAGAATTTTCTTTTTTGAAAATGATGTTTTCGCATTGGACTAAAACCTACTGACTTTACTTGCAGAGGGTATATAACAAGGCAGGATAATTTTTGTACTTTGTGCTATTTTTTTACTGAATATTGCCAAAATTTCCCACTCAAAAACTGAAGTGCATAAGCTCAGATCAATGAGGCCTACGAGCAATCAGTTACAAAAAAGAAATGCAAAACCTGTGGTAATTGATTTTACAAAAATTTTGTGATAATATAGCATAACGAGACATTTTTAAAAGGCCACTCATTTCTGACTGGTAACACCAAAATAGGCACAGGACAGGTTTTAACCTCTTCTATCTGCAGAGGAGGCTTGTAGGATGTGTGTCTGTTTTGTCATGTTTGTGGGCCAAAGACAGAAGCACCAATCCAAACACAAACAAGATGTGTAATCAGTACATGAAAAGCATACTTTTATTAACAAACATCTATTTACACTCTGGTCAGCAAACACGTGTTGATGGACAGGCAGTCAATGAAGAACTATGGAGAAGAGACCAAACACAGAAAAGAGATACAAAAAGTGCTTACAAAAAACACCTGTAAAAAGAAAACCTAAAGATGAGAGGAGAGGTGTGATATAAATCTATATCATTCTTTTTCTCCTTATAACATTTATGCAGCAGACTATCATTGCTGTCCTATATTGAATATTCTAAATGCTACAATTACAAATGTACATGGGTATTTTCAGAGAGTGGTAGAAAATGCAGTTTTCCTGGTCCATAGAGTTGAGTTGTCTTGTACAGAAAGACATTGAACACTAGGGGGCATGATAGATTGATGAGGACCTAACAGAACATTGTACAAGATAACTGCAAGCTAATGTTATTAAGCTGAAAATGTTTGTTTTTGCCATTTAGTTAACAGACTAATTGCTAAAACTTCCCCGAACCCTTACAATGTTTAAAGGAGTAGTTCAACTAAAAATGATCATTATCATGTTTTATTTTCACTCACCATCATATCATTATAAAACTGCTGATTTACATATGTGGCACACAAAAGATGACGTTCTGCAGAATGTTCATGCTGCTCTTTTCCATACAACAAAAGCACAAAGCTATTGTATGACTTCTGACGACTTGGAACATACTTAACCTTGCAGAGAACCATTTTTTTAAAGGATAGAACAATATGAAGAATTGTTGTAATTTCGTGTAATTACGTTTTTCCATGGATGTTAAAGTTTCTTCATGGAACCACAGATGCCAATAAAGGTCCTGTATTTTTAAGACTGGCCACTTTTAAAGTGCTTTGTTTGACCTTTTTAACTGTATGCAAAAGCGCAACATGAGCATTCTTCAAAAGTTCTCCTTTTGCATTCCAAGGGGAAACTAAAGGTATACTGGCAAGAGCAAGGGTGAGCTATTCCTTTAAGACCTCAATATGCCCTGTTCCTTTACCATCAGTCCACTAGGACCAAAAATGCTGCCAATACAGTACACAAGTCTTATGATATGAAACATCTGGGATTACAAGTATGAAAGCTAAGACTATGAAAGCTAGAAAATACATACTGACCTTTTGCCTTTTGCCTTCACATCTAAATTTGGCGAGAAATACACAGTCCCTCTCATTAAAACATGTCATACACACTATGATACATGTCAGGTCAGTCATTTGTGCTTTGAGGTTTATGTTTCCAGTAAACAGTTACAGTAGCTCTGCATCTACAGTGAAAGACATTGACAGCCACTCAACCGTTACTCATTCACATAAGGACATGCTGACGATTTGTTCACAAACTAATATTTGATTACAAGCACCATTCAGATGAAAGAACCGTTTTGTCTTTCATAACATCAGCCAGTCCTATTATAATATTAATTATGAAAACAGAATGAGGTTATGTAATAAGTGTACTGCCAGTTCTGACTGACTACCAGAGGAAGCCCCAACTCGAAGATTGATACAAACACATTGTGCAATAAATGATGATTATTAACATAAAAAATACTCACGGCATGCACAGTGACCCCAAAACAACTCAAGTCACACTTAAAATGCACAAATGTCATTGCATTAGATGCAAATCAAACCAGTAAGAATCCGAAAACAAATGAGTGTGATTAGATTCTTCAGGCAGATGTATATTTGATCTAATGTAATTACTGTTATGCATTGTTTAGTGTGATTTGAGTGTCTAATTTGGGATTCACTGCATATAAATCAAGACTTAAAACTAGAAAAAAAAGACTAAAACTGAATTTGACAGTGAATCATGAGAATTATACATCACACTATGACAGAAAACAACTCAGAAAAGCTCTAATTGTTTCTTGTATTTATATGTTATGCTTCCTTTGCTTCTATTTTGTAGGAGGTCAGCTTGCTATGTCTTGTTTTTTGGGCCGCACCCATTTTCCTCCTCTTGGCTCCCTCCTCAGTTTTACTGTGCAAATCCCATGTGAAGGTAAACAGCACACGGTGGCCCTCCTCACACTCACACACACACACACACACACACACACACACACACACACACACACAAACAGAGCTGGAACTCGGTGAACATCAACAACTGAACTCCCCTTGAATAACTCAAACCCGTGGACCACACACCACACCAACAAAATACTGGACCTTTTTGTTTAGATATGTTTTACAGCCACTTGTATAAGAGCATCTAAATGAGGCAGCTGGATGGAGTAACTGTGTTTTGTCCAGAGATGGTAATCAGAGAGCCAATTCTCCAATTCTCCAGAAAGGGCTGATTTAGGGTTGCTAGAAAGTGTTTTAAAGGTGAAGAGGTGAAGAGCAGAGAGGAGGAATGGGCAGAGCGGCTCTTCTTCACAACACTCTTTCATTTACGAAGACCTAAAAACACAAAAAGACAAAGAGAAAGGTTATTGGAGTCAACCAATATACCAGCTTCAGATTTAAACGTTCACTTCAAAGTGTTCTACGATTAATTTTGTATATCACTTCTTTATTTTTATTTTTTTGAGATTTCAGTTTGAATGTATACACTACCTTTCAAAAATCTGGGGTCAATATGGTTAAAAAAAATTATACTTTTATTCAGCAAGGATACATTAAATTGATCAAAGGTGACCATAAACATATTACAAAATATTATAATTTTATAGAAGATTTCAAATAAATGGTGTCCTTTTGAACTCATTCACGAATAATCCTAAATGTTTCATAATAAATAAATAAATATTCACAGTTTCCGCAAAAATCTTCAGCAGCACAGCTGTTTCCAACATTGATATCAGTGTAGTAATGGCTGCTGAAAATTGAGCTTTTCATCACGGGAATAAATTATATTTTTTAAATATATTCAATTAAAAGACAGGTATTTTAAATAGTAATAATATTTCACAATATTACTGTTTAACTGTACTGGTCTTACAAACCTTGAACCTTTGCACAGTAGTGTGTCAACTATTTTTAGTTTATTTAATAATTACAAAACATTTTCATGGATAAATCATTATTTGTTAAATGTGTAACAAAATGTAGCACCATTACATTAAGTGGAAAGTTTTCATTCATATTTTTGACTGTCATATTAACTAACTAGCTTACTGGCCTGTTTTTCCACCTTAAATATTGGTATTGGCAAAATCCACTTTCAATCAACCTCTAATTACACTATTAAAAGTTAAACTTACTTGTGAACACACACACACACACACACAGAGGTAATTTCAGCCAATCACCAGCGCCATAACTGTCATGTGACTAATCACTCTGGAGCCGCAGGAAAATGACATCCTGACAACATTGACTGGTTGATAAATCCACAGGAACACGCACACGCACACACACACACACACACACACACACACACACACACACACACAATCCCAGACTTCAGTAGAGACTATCCTGAGCTGTGGCATTAAAGTCAGCTATTTTCCAGAATGGTGGAGCTATATGTATAATGCTTAAGAGAAACATAAAACTATGCTAAAATATTTATTTGTTTTGTTTTCCGTTTACTGTTGTATGGCTGGTTGTCTGTCTACATTCTCTATGTTTAAAAAAAATAAATAATACAAATAAAAATTACTAAATAATTATGATTAATCTCACAATTTCCAACCAGTCTTTAGAAAGGATAATGAAACAGTAATTATGTAAATTCATCTTGTTTTATATTATTACTTTTTTTTCTAGATGTTTACATAGACGTCCTAGCATCCTTGTGTTTATTTTTCCCTATATATTTCCCAAACTTTTTTTTTCTTCCTTTTTGTCAAAGTAAATATTTCAATAATTTAACATTTGTATGTTCACAGTTCTCTGATATCGGCTGATGGCCAGATGACATGCAAGTAAACAGTCTTTTATTTTTATTGTGATTATTCTGTCATATACTGCGATTGCTATTTAAACTGCTATTTAATTTAATATAAAATGTCTACGGATGAAACACCCAGACACAAAGAACAAAGACTCGACTGCTAAGGGAAACTTCAAGTTACAGTAGTAAAATTAAATATTTAATTACATTTTTCACTTTCAAACCCTTGAGCTTTTAACATCAAACTCTAACAGACCATTTTAACAGACCACTGGTGAAATGCTGTAATTTACTATTGCAATGTGAATGTGAATGTAAATAAAGTGAACCTAGCACACACCGCATTCCCAAATTGACATTAAACACATTAAAATGAATGCAGTGCTTAATTGATGCAATTATTAGCTTTTCATCAACTCATAAAGCTCTGGTTGGGAAACCCTGAATTATATGATTCATAATGATTCATGGGATGAGTAATTCATTCCTGTCTATAATGTTGTAATGTTAGGATCCATCTTGGAGCTAGCTGGTTTGGTTAATATATTTGATCTTCTGTTATAATGTTCAAAGTAATAAGAGAACATGCAGTCTCAAATGAAAACAGACCACTAATGTATTATTGAAACTAAATCACAAATATGAGTTATTCTGAACAAAACTTTCTAGCATGCTGAATACATACATGGCCAGACATATTTATACGTCAATAACGTCTGCTCAGTTTTCAGTAGTCTGGCTCATCCAGCTGCAGAAAGCAAGGCAGACTTATTCTCAAGAATATGCTAATAGTCTAGTTGACACATAACTATAGAAACAAGGAAAGTTGGCCAAACTTTGTGCCGCTTCCCGGTGCCAGCCTTTAAAACGAGATCTGACCTTAACAATAAAAGCGCTGGCGTAGCTCTCATGTTAAAATGAAATTAAACTGGAAGCATATCAACAGACTGGCACTTTTTCCATGTTAAACTAGAGAGCTTAAACAAATAGACCACATATTAAACAATAACAATACAAAAATATCCTGGTTGATATAAAAGCTCCTTTACTATTCAATTGAGCTTCCCACAGTTTGACTAATCCCTCACTGGACGAGATCAGAATGCTTAGTGAATGGACTAATTAAGAACTTACACTAATTAAAAGAAAACATAATTAATGCTTCAGATAAGGGGCAAGCATGGACATGTGTAAGAGGATCTATTTGACTTAACTCGCACACACAGAGTGTATTTAATTGGATTCACATTCACACACATTTTACTTTTAAATGGGGACATACCATAGACATCTAAATTGTTTTTATTACAGCTGTAAATTTAACCTATAAATTAAAAACTCTCAATAATTACTATAATTTATAATACTTATATTTTACATTATTTGAGACAATTTTCAAACAGATGATATCTTTAAATGTCCTCAGTAGGAGGTTTTGTCAGATTTTGCTTGCATGTGGTACATATTTTTTCACACACACACACACACACACACACACACACACACACACACACACACACACACACACACACACACACACACACACACACACACACACACACACACACACACACGTATGTCTTG